AGTTTTGAAGTACATACCTTGCGAAGTCGCCATGTTTTTCAGCCGTCGAGCGGGCCGGCGGTGACAATTTTTTCGCGATAACGCGAAGAATATCGTTACTTCGAACCAAAAATCGAGTCCAAAGGAGAGAATTTAAGATTATCTTACTGTGTTTGTAGATRGGGCAAAAGGATTAAGCGTTTTGAACGATGAAACTATCGTATAAAACCACGCGTGCTTGACCTATTACAACTTTTGTTTACTGGAAGGCTTGCTCTCCAGTTTTGTGTTGCTAAGCGGTATCCAAGCACGTGACCACTAGCTGCAAAGGGCCTATTATTATAGTTTAAGGAATTGCAATGTGTTAACAAGTAGAAGAGCAAAAAAATTTACATATATATTTTATTCTTTAGAGTGTTAATAATTAATGTTAGGGTGATAATGCTTTTAACTTTTTTCATTGTGTACCTAGTACCTACATACTAGTACTCTAATTTTATTTAGATTGATGAATACAATTTATGTTATTTTTATTTACATTTTATTAGCTTTTCCCATGAAACAGAAATAAAAAAATTACAAAAAAGAAAAAGGAATGGGAAAAGGGCAGGGTGGCCATAATAGCTCATGCCAATTAAGTCTGTAGGACTGAAAATGTAACATGAGTCTCGATAGATCAGTTCAGGAGGATACTAAGAAGTGCCTTGTTTGCTTATGTTAATCCAGGTATTCGTACCTATCTACTTGAAAATGAGCAAGTGTGTCCAACGTGTGGTGCTGAGGATGTTTCTCCTGATTCCTTGATTATCAATAAGCAGCTCAGACAGGTGAGTGCAGCTGGGTTTTTTTAGTGGTGATGATGATGATTGAGGCAGTGGTATTAAGGATGATGATGATTGTGCTGCTTAGTTGTGATGATGATGGCAGTAGTAGTAAGAATGATGATGATCGCGGCAGTGGTAGTAAGGTAGTAACCTAGCATTGAGATGTTGTAGTAAGACTTAATACCTGACATTTATTCTACAGGCTGTGAATAACTTCCGTAATGCCAGACCAGCCAGCCCATTTGTTAACAGTACAACAGACAGTCCAACACCAAGCTTCGGTGCCGTCGACAAAGCAGCACCCAGTAGCACTGTTGATAAACCAATCACAAGTAGCACAATTGATAAAACAGCACCCAATACTGCTGTCCCAGAAACTAAACCCCAGTCAGTTAAACCTGAAGTGAATTCTCCAGAAACAAGGTTAATAATAATTTCTCTTTCACATGTTTACTTGTACCTGTAATGCATTTAATTTCTAATAAGGTGTTTGCATGATGCCGTCATTTTACGAATTACTACCACTACCAAAAGGCTTCGCAAATTTTCTTTTTTACTCAAATTTGAAGATAATTGGTGCTATTTAAGGGATCCCGGTAGTGGTAGTAAATGACGCTATAATGCAAGTGACCTATTGACTCTGTATCTCCAAACTGCACCTCTGATAAAGAGGGTATAATATTACACCCTCTTCTCACATTAGATTTGAGTGAAAAGGGGTTATATTATACTCTTCTTACAACCTCCCCTGACTCTTTCCCATCATTTAACTCAAACCACCTCAAGCGTGAACACGTAGAGATAATTAATGACTTTATTTTTGGATTCTTTATTTCATTATTTGATTTGAACATTCATTATTGAAAACGAATCTTCAAAGCCTTGGATATACAAAAGCCAAGCATATATGCAGCTGAAATGCAAAAGCAGCTTGTTGTGCGAGGAATATGTAATATTAATGACATACCTTCTGTTTCCGCTATAAACAAGAGCCTACAAGCAAAGTTAATCGAATTTTTCAAACTATTATTATCTTTTTAATATTGAAAATCCGTTTTCAATAATGAATGTTTGAATCGAATAATGAAATCGAGAATCCAAAAATAAAGTCATGAATGACCTCTACGTGTTCACACTTGAGGTGGTTTGACTGTAAACTCAAATCTCCCTCTGTGGGCAAATTATAGTCATTATACAATGCCGCAGGGTGGCCATTTATATATAACTATTGAATAATAACTTTAGATTAATGTCTTCTATTGATTTCAGTGATAAAGACAAATCTGAAGAAAAGGTTTCAAGCACAACTTCAGAAATTCCCCCAAAAGGTAAAATATTTCACCTATTTCCTGTATTTACTTGGTTAGCACATCAGACTAGAATACTGAAGACATGGGTTCGATTCCTGCCAAGGGCATTTGATATTTTTCTCTTATTCTCTGTATTTACTTGAGCGATTGCGAAGAATACATAAAGTCCAACATTGACTGGGAATCATTTTTTGTTGTCATGTATACGAATTCAGAAAAGGTCAAGTGATTTTCATATTTTGTCTCTCTAATATATTTTTTGCTTTATTTCATCAAAGATATATCTGAAGTAAAGGAGGAGGAAGTAAAGAAGAAAGAAGGATCTCCTCTGGTGAGTGTCCCTGTTATGTCTTTGTGAAATTTATGACATATGTCTGTAAGATGTATCATCTTAAGATGTATTACATCTTTAATGCATCGTAAGATGTATTGTTTCATTGCAGCTACTTTGCTGTTATTGTGTACAAAATAATGGATAATACTATGCATCTTTGTTTTGTTCGTACAGTACCTGAGTGAATTCTTAGCTATTTTACAACTAAATAAATAAATCATTTCACCCATTTCATGGATATTTGGAGTGAACTCTATGATTTCTAGCCTTAGTTTCTGTTTCAAATTAATATGAATCAGGATTGTGGTGCAGAGAGCTATTTGATTTAGGGGATAATATTTCTAAATATTTCTGTTTCTGTTACATTTCTAAATGCTAAATAAAGAGGATTTTTTTTTCAAAGCCTGTATTGAAAACAGAAGTCAGTTCTCCGAGAAGAGAACCAGAGGATCATCGAGATCATCGACTTCCTGCAAGAGAACATCTTAGAGCAGAACCAGGACCTGGTAGGTGTTTGGCCCTGTCTTTGGCCCCCATCCCATGATCAAAATGGAATTTAGGATTTGATTTGATCTGAAGTGAACTGACTAGTATTCCATATGAGCAGAATAAAACATGTGTTGTTGTTTACAGACAAATGATTTTTCTATTCTCTTTCCCTGGCAGTTGGACCACATGCTGGTCAACATCCTGGTCAACATCCTGGTCAACATCCTGGCCAACATCCTGGTTATGGTCTTCAGGATCATCCAATTCACAGGTAAAACTTATTACCATACTTTATACTACAGGGCTGTCAACCCCCAAGATATTCAAATCTGGAGAATTGATAGGGAAGGGACATGACATCACAGCAGAAAAAAGCCTGCGAAAAGTGACCCACGAAGTTTGATGTCTTGTTTGTTGACTAACATTCCAACAAACGTCAATCAAAGAACTGAAACAACTTATTACTAGCCAAAGGCGAAGTGAATATCAGGGAATACTTACTGAGACACAAGTCCTCGAGCAGCGAGGTAAATATTCCCTGATATTTCACTGAACCTGAGACAAATAATAATTATTAGCATTGTCTTAGTATTTTTAACACAAGTGAATATAATATTGAATAATGGAGAGAGAGTTTTTCCCCAAAATTTTTTATCTCTGCAAGTGGTACGAATTGATAAGACATAAATATTGACCAATGAGTGCCCCGGATTTATTACATGCCCTTGTGTAAAAATGCTAATAAGTGATAATAATAATTGATAAATTAGCCAACAGTATATATAGTAATTCTCTGTAACAGTTTTTATTATAGTGGGTGTAAAGTTTATAATGCATATCAATTTTTAATAATTATTATTTTTAAGGGGGTGGGGGTTGGGGTGGGTGTAAGAATTAATCTAGAAGTTTTAGCACCAACGTTCTTATTGCTGTAAGTTTTTTTCTTATCATATTTAATATTCAATATAGAATTTGTATATTAGATATATACATATTAGTAGTTGATATTTTAATATTCTTAGTATTATATATTAGTATCATATCTGTAGAAGGGCTCCCATTGATAGCGGCTACTTCTAGTAACTGAAGGAGCTACCCTTGTTAAATAAAGGTGTTATCTATCTTATCAGTTAACTAATAATTTATTGTTTTCTAGGGGACCACCTACCCATGGACCTGGTGTTGGTCATCCAATGGTAAAACCAATGATTCGTCGTAATATTCCACCAGACGGTGCCCTCCTTGTACCCACCATAAGGGTTCCTCGTCCACTTCTTGTTCAACCACACCCAGGCCCACTCATGGCACAACCAAGGTTTATAGGCTCTGCAGCTCTGGGTTTACACCCTGTTGCAGCACATCCTGGCATTGTGCAGCCTCTACTGGGAGCACCCATTCCTTTTGGTGTCAATCCTCCTGGGTTCCGCCCATTTGAAAACCCTAGACATGTTGAAGGTCTTCCACCAATGTCTGAGGAAGAGTTTTATCGTTATCAAAAAAAGATGAAACTGAGGTATGAAGCTGAGTGAATCTAGTTTGCTGTTCCCCTTCAAACCAAAAATAATAATTACAGTAACATTGCATCTTCTTGGCTCAGATTCTGGGGATTCATGAGCCTGTAATATTCTGGGGCCCTTGAAATCCTGAGGGCTGGAAATCTGAGCATAAACAGCTTCTGGATCTAGACTTTTATGGTTAATAGCATTGTTTCAGGGTTTATTCTGTGTGTTAAACATGCCCTGACTTTGATTAGCCAAGAGGTTGCTTCACGGTTTGATCTGTGAGTCAGCTGTGCCCTGGCTTAAATCAGCCCAGAGATTGTTTTAGGGTTAGATCTGTGAGTTAGACATACCCTGACTTAGATCAGCCCAGAGGTTGTTTCAGGGATCTTAGATCTGTGAGTTAGACATGCCCTGACTTAGATCAACCCAGAGGTTCTTTCAGGGTTAATCTGTGAGTAAGACATGTCCTGACTTAGATCAGCTCATAGGTTGTTTCAGGTTTTGATAAAATTTGAAGGGTTTTGTTTTTATTTTATTTAATATTGAATTCCTTTTTCTTCAAGGACTAAAAGAAAACACAGAGAAAAAGAACCAGGTGACAGACATTCTAGGCGGGAAAAGTCATCCAACCGTAACCAACCAGGCAACTTTGATGACGAGCTTTCACAGTATAAAGCTTTACAAAGACACCGTACAAGACGAAGATCACGTTCAAGATCATATTCCCGCTCTCCTTCCAGAACTCACTCAAATTCCCGTTCATTTTCCCGTTCCTTGTCACAATCATCACGGAGTTTGTCGAAATCTCCCACCCCAGAAGACTGGGATAGGTCTCGTACTCCTTCTCCCGTCCCCTCTCCCGTAAAATCAGGATCAAAGTCTCCGGTCCAAAATGAAGAAAAGAAAACCAAACAGAAAAAGAGAAAAAAGCATCATAAACACAAGCACTCCAAGAAACAGAAACCTTTAGAAACTGAGAATGGTGAAAATGAAGTTAAAGAAAAGGGAGAAAAGGAGAAAACTGAGAAGAGGAAATCAAAGTCAAAGAAAAAATCCAAAGACAAAGAAAAGAGCTCTAAAAGTAAGAGGAAATCTAAGGAAAATACAGAGAAATCAGAAAAAGTAAATTCTGAGGAATCTGTGACGGAACTACATGAAAGCGAACATTCTGGAAGAAAGAAATCTAAGGACACAACAGAGAACTCAGGAAAAGCAAATTCTGAGGAGTCGGCAACAGAGGTGAATGAAAGTGAACAATCTGAAAAAAAGAAATCTAATAAGGAAACAGAAAAATCAGAAAAAGCAAATTCTGAAGAGCTGGCAACAGAAGTGATTGTGAGTAAACATTCTGAAAGAGAAATTTCAGTAGGAAAAGAAAAATCAGATGAACCATTAGTGAAAAGTGAAGAGAAATCAGAAAAACAAAACGTTGAAGAAAAAGAAAGAAAAGTAAATGAAAATGAAGCAAATGGGAAAGAAATAGAATCAAATGAAAATCAGAAACTAAGTAGAAAAAGAAAATCAGAGGAAAAGGATGTTGAAGATGAAAGTAAAAAAAAGAAATCCAAGGAAAAATCAAATGAGAAGAAGCACAAGAAAAAGAAGCATAAAAAGAAACACAAACGACATAAGAAAGAAAGGGAAAAGAGGCATTCACAAAGTGCCGAAGGTAATAATGATTCTACGGAAGAGACACAGGAAGATTCTGAAGATGATGGAAAAGAAGAAGCTGCTACAGAATAACTCTGGATATTATTTGGAGAAACTCCCTATGATCTGTGAGTTCTAGTTTATATATAGTGGTAGGATATGGATGGATGCACGTATATAATGTGCAATTGACTGCCAAACTGTCCAGTAAATGTTACATTGGATGTCAGTAATAATTGTTACTTGTGTAGCTCTGCACAATAAGGATGCCCTTATAAAGGCTGGCTATGAATGGTTTGTCATCATTTCCAAGAGAGTCTGAAGTCAAAGACATGGAGGCCATATTGGTGGTATTACAGTATATTAACAGAAGAAGCTATTGACAAATCTTTTGTTTAAAAAATAAACAGAAAAGAGAACCAAAAAAAAGTTCTCAAGATATTGCATTCCCTCGACCTCACATGAATAACTTTTACTAAAACTCTATAGATATCTTCAAGATTCACATCACTCATCCTTATATCTTACCAAAAATGCTGTAAATAAGAAACTTAACACTGCAGTCCTATAAATAGATAAAATCTCAGACCACTAATGAACAATAATTACACTTCAATTGGCAAGTGGGAAAACAATGCTTAGTATTTGCTCTGAACTAAAAAAAAAACTTGCCTTAGCAGGAAAGAGAGCTTCAATCTGTTCTATACTTTAAAATCAAAAAAAGATTGTGTGAACTGATTGCAGAAAATAATATTTGTATTTTTCTCAATAAAACTCAAAAGAAGATTAAAACTTGTCGTAATGTCTTAAAGATTTCATGAAAAAATTGAGTGCAAATACTCTTTTTTACAGTTTCATTCAGTGATCACAAAAAATAGTGCTAAGTTAAGGCTGGAGTTTCTGCACATAGCAAAACTATGTTTTTATCATGCGCGGCAACTCCAACCTCGGCTTGGAACTATTAATTGTGGTGAATAAAAGGAACTGTAAAATGTAGCATTGGTTTGTAGGTGACTCAAGCAAGTGAATGAGAAATTTTAAAACAAATTTAATAAAAATGGTTTCAAATGATAGGTCTTCTTACTGTATTTACCTCAATATGACATCAACAGTTAGGCAAAATGTAATGTGCTACGGGGCATAGGCGAGTAAATAGCTAATTTTGGCCAACTGTTGAAGTCATATTGTGGTAAGAAAAAAGAGGATATACAGAGTTATTACCAGAGAAAAAACATGAAGTTTGAAAGAAAAATGGTTTCAAGCTCACACTGGCGCTGTGTGCGAGTGATTCATAATTTTATTGACATAAAATGTCTTCTTATTTGCTACAGCTCTCAACCAATCGGAAAGTGAGACAATTTACGAAAAAACTTTAGTTCGATCCCATCAATATGGTGGTGATGACATGGCATACATATGAAGAATACAATGATTTTAGTATAGGCCATTGTCTAAATCATAAACTTAATGTTAGAAGTTTTAATAATAATAATAATAACGGCTTTATTACAGCATATCCACATAGGTGGCTCTTCATCTTCATAACATACATTAAATAACGTAATCAGTTCAGTTTCCCACCAGAGCAGTCACACTTTTCTGTTTAGGTCGCTGTGCTAGTACTGGACATTTTGACAATAATTTGGAAAGATTTTGATCAATCCAACAACAACGTCAAAGTATTTCAAAGTATTTTTACTAAACTATGCTTTGTAACTCGTGGATACGCGAAGCGTAGAAACGAGTTATTGTTTAATACAGTACAACTGCTATTAAAAATCGTTTCATTTCAAGCCATGCTAGAAATTCCTTGACTGGCCAAAGAGAGGATTTTGTGGTTTCACAAAGCGTTATTGCCAAGGCAACGGCCAGGTCACTAACACATCTACAAGATATAATACATCATATATACAGATAGAAATTTTATGTAACAAATTTGGATTGCCTAGAAGTCGTTATCACTGTCGTTTAAACTGCCTTGTGATTCACCCCCTTCCTCTTCATTATCATTGCCTATTTCATCGTCATCAAGTAGATCATCGTCATCTTCATCAACACCAATCTCGCTGTCCCCTGAAGAAAGTGAACCACTCTCATCCTGCGTAAAAATGAAGTTTCAATTTAATTGTAAAAAGCATTCATAGCTAGGATTCAATACTCTTCCATTTAGGGGGGTTTCATGGTACAACTACAGAAGACACTCCAACAATGAACCCCAACAATAGACCTCATCGGCTCTGACGTAGTGTTTTTCCATTTCAGACCACGTCATTCCCTAGAGTGTCATTTCTTTGTTTAAGGTTTGCGCTCGGTTGCTCATGAGAAGACACATGAATATGGATACARCTCAAACAAAGAATMTTATTCTCAAGGGAATGACACGTGGTCTGAAATGGGAAAACATTACGTCAGAGCTGAAGAGGTCTATTGAATGTGATTTATAGCATATTCTACACTAAGTTATGTTTATACTAAGGAAGTTACTAGAGTGCTAAAACATCAGTTTGGAATTCTCTTTTGTTGGGGTGTTGTTTTTTCTTTATTTATTCCTTTTTCGTATCACATCATTGTTCCTGGCCATAAATTTCATTCAAAAATGATCATGAGATACAGAAAAATATCATCACATGGTACAAATTTATGGGCTCTGTATTGCCACTTGACTCATTTCTATAGTACCAGTGTATCCCTCTGTATTTCTCTGTATCCCTCTGACACCCTCTGAGGGCCACAGGTTTGTTAGCCACTGGCAATTAAGTGTTACCCTCGTGAAAAAAAAGGACATTTTTTAACCCACACTGTCATCTTTCCACCTTACAACCAAGCTGGCCCTAAAGACAGGCCACAGTTCTTTTGTTCTTACCTCATCTGATTCTATGCCTGCAGCATTCATTCCTCCAAATACACGAGGTCCCTCCCCTAGAATAAATAATTATGACTTTAATTATATTCTTTAAGAAAAGGACACAAGTCATGGTCTGAAACCCAGGGGGAGGACTCGAGTAAGACTGACGGGTAATCAGGTATGCTCGTATTAAAATGTCAAAAATACCCCTTAAAGATACCAGGATTTCTTTAAAAAGATGGTGGTTGGTTCCCCCTGAAATGATATCCTAAAATATACCAAGATATGCTGAAATTCTAAATCTCAATTTTTACACCCTAATAAGATACTAAATCGCTAATTTTTACCCTTAAGAGATATGATAAGAATACCCGATACTTTTACCCTGGAGTCAACCCCCAGGGTCTGAAATGGGGATGATAAACAAGTTAGTACCTCTTTGTCCATCTTTTCTTCTCTCCTCCTGCCAATTTATGACCACTCCCTTATTTTCTTTCATACCCCACTTTTAACTGGTCTAATACAAAGCATTGAATCAAGGCTACAATGTTCAAATGTGAATAATCCCATGAAACTACCTTGCAGCCTCGACTGGATGCTCTGTGTTTGACCATTATATTTTTAAAGTTTATGTCCAATATCTCACCAGGCCTTGCAGGCATTTGTTTGTTTCCAGCCTCCAGGACCATCTCTTCTTCATCCTCGTCGATATCACCTCCCAATTCATTTCTGGTAGAGATTCTTCTGTCTTCTTCTTGGAGTCGATCTTGTAGTGTCTTGGCTTCTGTCTCCTAAAAATTCAACCAAAACTTCATACTTCTGCTGATATCAAATAGCACCACAGGCAACCCACAGTGCCGAAAATAAAACATGAAATGAACATAATAGATATCCCACAATCCTTTGCATCATAGATTAAAGCCAATCCTGTCTTTGCACACATTCATTCCAAAGACCTCAAGATTGTGCGTGACCCGCCCACCCAATGGTAGGCATGATATACTGCACAGCATCCATTTTTTCGCATATTCCATATCATATATATTCATGTGCATTGTAGGCACTGAGAATATGGTACGGTTTTCACCAAAACTTTTCTTTGGAAGGAAGCAAAAACACATTAAATGGGAACCCTGTGGTTTTAAGATTTAATACATCATCTTTCAGAAGGATGCGCCCGTCACAAATTCACATGTTTTCTAGGACTAGGTAAAGAAAATACAGAAATGAATACCTCAAATTTGTCTTGCTCTGCTCTGTTGACATCATCCAGTAACTGCTCTAAATACGATAGGTTTCTGTGTTTCTCCATGTAAGTCTGATGAAAATAAGCACCAACATTACTATATGTCGCAACTTATAGTAATCCATCAGTCGATTAGAAGGAGTAATAGTATATAATGATATATATAGATCTTGATCACACTGTGTCCTGATTCTACCCATGAGAACAAAAACCAATGTCATGCTGAAGCACTTGAATGGGTTTCCTTGAATGCGAGTGGAAATCTATTGTTCTAGTCAATATGTCTACAGTGAGAGATAGGTCCTTGGAACTGCAAGTTTAGTCACATTACCTCATATACTTTCTTGAGGTCTTCTTCCAGTTTTTCATATTCATCCATAAATGCTGGCCTATAAATGATGTTACACATGGGTTATTAAAGTATTATATAGTAAATATCACTGTAAAGACATAACTATATTTTGTATATTGTGTAATATTTATTACACTACATAATGGTTAAGTTCAGATTTACCATGTTTTACCCCAAAAAATGAAAACAACAACAAAAAAGTACTCTTGACACACCTGACACTTTCCAAGCTTCGTAATCTTTTCTGGTTCCTCTCTAACTCTTGTTTCTTCTTTTCAATCTTTGTTTCCAAATTTGCTTCGTCTGATGCAATGTTGTTTAGCATCTGAGTAGTTTTCTTGATTTCTTCCTAGTATATTATCAAAACAAATATATTATTCTCAGGAAAATTGGTTAAAAAATCTCTGTACTCATACTAATGTACTTATTGACTGAGTGGGAGGGCCGTACGGGAAAATATTTGGCTCGAGGTCATGTCGTACGGACCGAGCACAGCGAGCAGGGACGTACGGGTCATATGATAAATTACTATTCCCAGCTGTCAGTCATGTTATTTTTCAAGACTTTTCAGCCCTTTTTTCATCCCCTTGGGAATTTATTTTCTCTTCAAGCATTATTAAATAAATTACATTGTGCAGTTCCAAAACTTATCCATACCGCCCTCACAGAGGAATTTTTAAGGCACCCCCCCCTACCTGCAGAAATTCCAATTTTCCTCCATACAAACTCTGTAATTTTTGTTTTTTCTCTGACCCCCTACTCTTCAGAAATTCCAAATTCCTCTGTGGGGAGGGTATGGATGATTTCTGGAACTACACATTGCTGATGTATGGACAAACCTGAACTCGTAGCATACTCTTCTTAATACCATTCTCCAATTCATTGACTTCAAGTGGTTTAGCTATTGCTCGTGTTCTCAGTTCCTAAAAATACAAAAAAGAAAACAACTCATCAACAGCTTTCCCTGGATAGAAAAAGAGATATTTATTTATTCGATGGATATTTATTTAATATTTAACTTATGCCATAGAATTACACAAATGTGATATCAGTTTAGTACACACCCTTAGTTCAACTTCTTGTCCAAGTAAATCATAGAGGGCAGCTCCTCTTGATGTGATCTCTGAAGCAAGCTGACGTGATGCCTTTAAGTCATTAATCTGTTTAGAAATCAGAGAAATCCATTATTACCATGACATATCCAAAAAAAGTGAAAATTAAGCATGAAATCCAATCATTAAATTTTAAAGAAAAAGTGCATTTACTGAACCCTGCATTAACCTCTGGGCTGATCAAAGTCAGGGCATGGATAATCTACAGATCTAGTTCAAGGAATTTAGCTACTTCTGTTAAAAGAGAAAAACACAGAGAAAAACTGTTGAATCTACAGCAAGACATAGAAACTCTACTGTACATGAGATATACTAAGACCAGGAATCAAACCCAAGACTGTGCACAAAGGTGAGGGCTGAATGCAACTACTAATGACATTATAATATTATTTTATACATTAGAAACCAGAAATTTGACTATTATTATTTAAATTAGATTAGATTTCATCACATATTGTAAACCAGTAATATAATGTTTGTAATGCATATGTGCTCATCTCCCAATTGAACCTGCGCAATAAAAATATTAAATTATATTGATACCATCTGGCTTACCCTTGATGATATATCAAAAGTCAAGGAAGTAACATTAGCAGACTCTGCGTCCTCTTCAGATTGGTTGGTTTTCATTGCGTTGTAAAGTACTGAGGTCACCTTGAGTAGCTCCTTCACGGCATACCCATCTGCACCATAAAGCTTCTTGGTGTTCAGCTTTATGTGTGCTTTAGTTGCCTGGAATACAATCAAGACTATTGCTGAGGATCTTTTATTTTTGGTCCATATTTTTGGGTAAGGTTTCTTATTCCAAACAAACAAGAGAGCATAAATAAGAGAGGTAAACTTCTTAGTAATGTGCATGCCATGTAAATTCCCAGTTGGGCTATTTTTAGTAACCCGATGCAGTATAAATTTCACCTTACCCTACTCCTGTGCGTCATCAACTTGCATGCATTCGCTCTTTCTGCTTATTGTTTTGATCACTAAAAACAAAACGGAAAGAGCACAGGTGCGCAAGTTGATGATGCAGGAGTAGGGTAAAGTGAAATTTAAACTGTAACCAGTTGCTAAAAATAGCCCAACCGATAATTTACATGCCATGCGCGTTACTAAGAGGTTTCCCTCTCTTATTTATGCTCTCTTGATACAGACTACTGTTGCAGTGGAAAGGATAGTGGGTAGAGGGCAATAGAGGGGGTTAGGCTTGAAAATTAGATGATGTTAGCAGAAAGGGAGGATCTAAAGCCCCCTAGCCTTTCCCTCTTGGTGATTTCTTCATCATTTTATCGACCCCATAGATTTCTCATGTGTGGTGACTCTTCAAAATATTTTTTGTCTAAAACCTACTCTAACACTGATACTAATGATAATGACGATGGATGATTTTGATGTTGATAATATTGATGATGATAATGGCGATGACATTGAAAATGGTGATGATGATGATGATGAGATGGTGAGGTTCATGATTATGTTGACACCAATAATGGTAGCAATAGTGATGATGTAGTGGTAGATTATAATGTTGATGATCATAATCACGATGATGCATGATAATGATCATGATCATAGTAGTGATGATGATAATGGAGATGATGACAAGATGGCGTTGTTGATGATATGGTGATGATGGTGTTAATGTATGATCATGATAATGATTTTGGTAGTAATGATGATAATGGAGATGATAATGAGATGGTGTTGGTGAGATGGTGATGATGGTGTTGATGATGATGATGATGGTGATGGTAGTGGTGATCATGGTGATAACAATACTGACATATGATGACAATGATTACCATGAACTGTGCAACAGCCTTAATAAACAGCACTCTGTCTTGCTCAGTATCCACGTCCATCGGTAGCTCTGCATTTGGATCGTACCTGAACGAATAAAATTACTATTTTAGATTTAAAGAAACCTATTTAGACGTGTTTGTTATATTATGTAGACACCAAGGAGTAACGACGCTTAAATATCAAATATTTTAACCATGATACCTTTTTACGAGCCATATCAAAACTTCTGCCACTAGAGGAAAATTCGGGGAACGAAAATTCTCCATCGAAATAAGTCTTGGGTATCCAAGAGAACGCATCATTTCAGTGAAATCTGAGGACGAAACACATAAAAAGAAACACGTCAAAAATCAACCAAAACTTCATCAGAGTGGATCAAAATCGTATCATAAACGTAGCTTGATTATCCAAAAACACTTCAAAGCCTCCTTAAAGAGAAAAAACGTGGAAAATTCGCTCTCTTACTTCGTAAATCGCGGTACGACATTTTGAAATGTTATTTTTTCTTTCACTTGAAAGTATTTGAGAAAATAACATTGCGCATAATCAATGCTATGAACCGCTGGTTTATTGTTGTTGGTGGTTGTCATAGCAACGTTGATCCAAAATGGCTGCCACTCCAGGAGGAGAAGAATCTGTATATGAAACTGGAAGATTATCGCTTCTAGATTTGATATTTGAGAAGAATAGAGCGCAAAATAAGGTAAATTATATTCCTATATCACTCTGTATTTGATATGCTTTCGAACTGGCATTTTTGCTTTACTTTTAACACTTAATTAGTTTTTTTATAAAACTGGCTAAAAAGTTAATTTTGTTGCGTTTTGTTGTTGTTGTTTAGAAACAACTTGTACATCGTTTGGTTTACATATCGAAAATACGACAAGATGTTGCAGATAGAAGAGAAGTAGGAGGTAACTATGTGTTCTCTAAATTTTTGGCGTACCCTATGAGCCTACGACTTGTTGAAAATTTGCAGCAGAAAACTTATTTAACATTAATTTTTACAGCTCATTATGAAAAACTGTTCAAAAACTCTCAAGCTCAGATCCATGGCGAAGCCGTTTCTGGTTTACTTTTAATCTATCCAGTCCATATTGTCCATGTACTTGAAGTAAGTGCTGCATAAAAATACAAACTTCCCATGATATAAGAGTTACTTTAGAAAGATTGAATTTTTTGTTTTGTTTGAAATTTTATGGATTTTTTATGTCTTTTTCGTTTTCTTTTAGTCTTCAGCTAATGTTCTCCAGGAAGTTATTAATGATTTAGCAGAAGAGGAAGAACAGAGCATTGGGTAAATTGGTTAAATATAGTGTATATAGTACCAGAAGATATCATTCCCATATACATATAATTTCCCACTCAATGCTGAGTGGGATTTTCAGTTGATCTTCATAATTGCTATAATTTCCTCAATAAAACAATTGGGATACATCTTCCTCAGACTTTTTTTCACATATATTGGAAATTTCAAAACCCTGCCAGTATGAATAGATAACTTCTGGAACTAAACGATATATTTCTTTCTCATCCCTCTTAATTTTGTTCCATTATTCAATTTATTGTTTATTTGTCAATAATGGTTTTTAATGCTTATATTTAGAGGAATGATGCATAATTCCAGGATTCTTGTCTATTCTGGTGATGTATCCTTTGGAAAAACAGCAAGGGTGTATTGAAGCTAGAGCCAAGAAGGATATCCACGGGAGCTGGGAAACGGATAAGATATAGCACGAGATCCAGGAAACTACAAAAAAATCTTATGTAATTTGGGATACTGGCATTAGCTAGGACTCAAGAATTGCAGTATTCAATGTTGGAGATGTGGGATTTTGCTTTAATATGATTTTCGGGAAAAAACATGAAAAAAATTAATGAATAGTGTGTGATTCAGGATCTTAATCCCTCCTTCTAGAACCTATTGATGCAGTGGCAATCAGTGACCAGTCACCAGAGGGGGCAGGGGTGCTTATATATATTTTTTTGTTTACTGGTTCACCTTTCCCATTCCTTAACTGAATCCTCATCAGCTTCAAAACAGACTATTCACTCAATGGAGCTTTAGGTGTATCAACCAATCAGCTGCAAGAATGCAAGAGTATACGACAAATGAATCCATCGATGTTGCCGTGAGTGACTTCAAGACAATAGTGCAAATCTGAAACTGCAAAAAAACCCCTGGTTATGGGCATATCATGCTATAAAGAATAGTGACATATCTGAGCGGTATTAGATGTGCAATAATTAATGTGTGCATGTTGTACATAAGAGAATGTCATCTTTTCCTTCTACTAGGGACCTTAAAGGATTGACTTGCCAGCTGGATAAATCACCCCTCAAACAACTATTTTCTCATGCATGAGCTGTTATCCTTGGTGTTACCATCCTTGCTAGAAATATACTTCACTGGTGCTTTTTGCATCCTACGTAGTAACCCTATTTGTGGATAATTATATCTCTTCATCTTGTCAATTCTTCATTTAGGTTATGGAAGCACTCAATCTATTATTAAAACTTGGTGAATATCTGGGAAAGCTTCCAAAGGTATATTATTTAGTTTGAAGTCTCAAAACTCCTCTTAGCTTTGAATTAAGCTCTTCAAATAATATTGATGCAGCTTCATGTTAATACTTTGCTTGGCATTATTCCAGTTAAGTTTTAGTAAAACAATGGACCAACTTCCAGAAAAAGTACCTGAACTCCTTGTTAGACAAGGTATGTAACCATTATGTTATTACCTGTATCGTGAATTAATATTGTCATAGGTGCCTCCTGTACACTGTCTTATAGGCTACCCTACCATGTACCATGTTGCCGCAGGTGCCCCATGTAGGCTGTCTTATAGGATACTACCAACCCACCTACCACCTTGCCACAGGTGTCCACAGTATACTACTGTATTACAGGATACCCACCTACAAAATACCACATTCCTGCAGGTGCCGACATACTGTAGACTGTCTTATATGATACCCACCCACCTTAACCACCTTGTCACAGGAACATTCTAACTAGATCATCCATTCAGTAATTGTCAGTTGCATGTACAACATTAAACTATGTTGTCAGTCATCATCCTAGTGTCGTTGTTATGGTCTTTCCATCCTCATGTGTACGTAAGGTCTCTATTGTAAAATGCCAAATGCTGAATGGTGCATAAAGACATGTAAACAAGGGAATTAATGAATTTTTCATTTTGATCTGTCCTTAGATTTGCTAGAATATCTTATCAATTCAAAAGAACTCAGCTCCCCATCAGAATACCTGAAGAGATACACCAAACCATTAAATGTTGTATTAGAAAGTGGTAAGTACCTGTAACCTGAATAATAACTAATAAGACATTGTTGTTGTACTGTCTACATAGACTGACAACACTTTATTTACATTGTGGTTACATTCAAACAATGTATTATTAGACACATGCATGTCTTTGTAATGCATTTATAAAGTAACTGTAATTTATATATCTCACTTTCTGATTGGTTCAGAGGACACATGCTTTATGAGAGTACACAGCATGGCGCACTCACTTTTTATTGTCTCTCATTATAATTAGTATCTAAAAGAATGACTATCTATTCTTAAGCATCCTATAAGCTTTAGGAAATCTTAAAGTCCCTACAAAAAACTTGGCACAATATGTGTCACTCAGTTCATCTAAGCTGAATATGACACTGCAGCATTAGACCAACAACGCTCATTGTCTCTGCATGAGTATCTGAGGATTAATTCCCACCTCAAGTAATATCTGCTACGTCAAATGTCTATTTGTAACTCGATGCAATCATTGTCATTTCACATAATTTACATATTTAATTTCACATCAAAATGTTTTCTTTATACTCTAAGAATACTTCATATTCCAGATTTTTTTATTGATTTCTAATATTGGTCTATCTCTCTTTCTATTTTAGAATTAGTTTGGCCAATGCAAACAAAGCTATTTCCAGTTCTCAACTAGCTATAGGTTGACTCTTGAAGACTATATAATGACCTCAATGTAATGTGGCCCTGAAACTCAGCAGCTGGCAATATTGGATGACAAAAGTTTAAAGTAGCTGTGTATATATTTTTGGACAGAATCTAATTTTATACAACTTTTGGTTTTTTTTCATATGCATAATAGCAGTTTCAGTAGCAGATCCAGGGGTGGTTTGATAGGTTCAATTGAACTCCACTTTTGTGAGATCTTGTGAAGCCAGTCAAAGCTTCTTCTGCATATACCCAAACCCTGGATTCGCAACTGAGTAATTAAAAATTTCTTTAATGCCGTTCAGGTTTATTGGTAATCACTTTTTCTAGACATATAGTTAAATATGTTTCCTGGAAGGTCGGCATTGGTTCCAGGTTTAAAGAAATAGGACACTCTGTCAGCAAACAGTTTGTCATGTTGTGTTAAAAGAAAGAAAACAAAAGCAAAATCATTATGAGTTATTTGTTTATCTTGTTCGTTACTCTCAGAAAAACTATAAGACCTTCCACAACGACATATCTTATACATTGCCCACGAAGATATTACAAGATGTACAAATAAAGAAATTAAGAATAGTATTAAGGTAACCTGGAAGTAGGGCGCCAATGGGTGGGAACATTCAAAATAGTCATACTCCTTGGAGAAGACAAACTCGTCAATCATACATGTGAAATCAACTGTGTTATTAGTCATAAGTCCTTGAAAAAAAGTTTCAGGATCCAAAAGATTGAATATAAGAGATAATAAACAAGTTAACATCTGAAAAAATGTTAGTATTGAATAAGAAAAAAATAAATATTTGCTTGAATCTTGATCATACTTCATTCTAAAAACTTCAGCTTTCTCAACCAAGTTTAGTAATTTGAGAGCATCAGCATCGGGAATGGAGATATAGCCTTGATTTGTTGATGGTTGCGAACTGCTACTATCATCCTTCAAGCTACTTGCAGAACTTCCAGGGACTGCTTTTTTAACTCCCTGCTTTGTTGATACATCCTCTAATAAGATGTCCTTATCACTATTATCCCCTGATCTACTTGTCACAGAACTTACAGCTTCTTCACCATGATTATTTTCCTGCTTTGGCGATTCCCCTTTGGGATACCTTTTAATCCTGTCAATAGTCGCTAAAGAACTGTAACCTTCGTCTGCTAAAGCCACAAAATGGTTTAATACTGAGGAAAAGCATGGCAACTTGGTCCACATGATATCAAAAGCCAGAAGTAACAATGTTTCTCCCAAAAGAATTAGAGGAAAGAACTTTGTAAACCAACTCAATTTCTGGAAACAAACAGAATCAACATAATCATAGAATCTCCTATCAGTCATTTTACCCAAGACTTTTTTCTTCAAACTTTTTGGCTTAAGTGACTGGCATAACTTGGCAGCATCTGATACATTTGCAGCCAATGAACCATTAGGCACAGTTAATTTACTGCAGTCAATAGCAGGGACACATATCAAGTTGTCTTTGGTGACTTGTATGGCTATGCTCCACAAGGCGATGGCCATCATTGCAGCAATGAGATACTTGGATACAACATCCCACCATGGAGTTACTTTCTTGAGATTTTCATCCAATGTGGGAGCATCTGTCACAATCATTTTTGGCAGATTATTTCTAGATCACCTTTGGAAATATAGAGCTTCTTTTAGGGCTTCTGTTTTAACTGAAGTCAAGAATAAGACATGAAAGTCTATAGGGATGGGATGGTGTAAGGAGGTGAAATCTGTAAATGACAAAAAAATTCTTAAGACCCCCCCTTGAAGTCCCCCACAAAATAACTATCCCCCCCCCCGGCAATGTCATAGCTTCTTCTAAAAATTTTGCATCTCCAATTCTCTGAAAAAAATTTTCAAACCCCCCATTTTACTGGTAAAAATGTTCCCGATCCCCCCTAAATTTCACCTGCCGCCCCCCCCCCCTCTGCCATACGTTATGAACGCAGCCTAATGTGTGGAGGTGGGGGTAAGCCTGGGAATGGGTGCATGGCTGGCCAAGAAATCCTGACACACACCAACCACCACCATGAAAACATTCTTGTCACTACTAACAAGGAGCAGATGGGACCAATGCTTTTTATTTGAAAGGGTGGGGGTGGTGTTATCAGTAAAAACTTGAACTTTTGTGGAGGGCCAAGCCTTTTTATTTTGTTTGATGAAAGCTATTTTCTTGTTGACTTAATTGCAAGAACATGAATTTATTAAGGGGCAGGGCTACAAGTATTTAAAAACGTTTACTGCGAATCCCCCATTCCCCCGCTCCCCCAATAAAAAACGTATCTTCCCTTATGAGATACTTTTACGAAAATTTCACTAGACTTCCTAAGATTCCACAGCCTCGCTCGCTTTATACTTGTAATATACTTGTTCTCTTGCGAAGTCTCGCCTTTTGGATAGTATTGACTTCTAATCAAAACCGTTCTACTTCCGTGTTTCAAAATATTTTGCACCGATTTTACATATTTGAAAAACTTAACCCATGGTCAAATTCTCTTGTCATTAGTATCTGTGGACATACGCGATCAACAGCTTAAAAATATCAAATGTTTGCTTACCTTAGCGTTTGAAGCTGAAAACGAAACCTTAAAAAGGCCGGAAGTGCAAATAATGATATACTAGTGAAACTGAGCCCGTTGCTATGAGAATAGCTTGTCAGCAGAATTGCTCAAAAAAGTTCTCATCCGGGACCTCGGATATATTCTTCCCTTTCCCTGTGACTTTTGGTAAGTAATGGCGGAGAAGAACATTCACTATAAAATCCACGTTAATCCTAGTTTCAGAATTCAATTTTCAACGTCTAACATAAATTTTCACAAAGTTTGGATGTCATATAATGTCTCAGTTTTGTTATTTTGTTAAGTTTTTTAAAATAAATGGTGTTTTAGGTCCCTTATCAAACCAATCATCGTGAAAGGTTTTCATGTTGTAATTCTTGAAGTTTGTATGCCTAGTGCTCTGATCACAATGTCCTTCATATTTTATCATTCATAGACAAGCAAATTTTTTACGACATCGTCTTATCATATTTATAATTTTTTAGATAAGTCTTCAAGATGTAGAAGAGGTATTATCGATGTACCCTATACAAAATTCAGACATTCATATAAGCTAGTCACGTTAAATATTTTTTATAATAGTTTTCTTTTGTTTTTAGGCAATCATGGGGCGTCGACCAGCCCGATGGTATGTTACTGTTCTTTCTAATTTACTGTAAAAATGAATAATAAGCATTTCTGTTGAGTCATTCTGATATGACTTAGCCAACTCAGCTTATCTCTTAGAGTACGACTGCAATAATACGAACATGCTGAGTCATTGTGATAACCAATGTCATAGCCAAGGAATTTCGCTAGACGAGCAGTGATCTTGAATACTGTGATTGGTTTGAAGAAAGTTGTTCCTTCTGTATGAGTACGGTCTAAATGCAGTTATCTACTTTTTCATGGCTACATGGCTATTCTGTGGACTCGGTAGTTGAGAGCTGGTTGCTGAAATTTGTTTTTTCTCTGCCGTCAATATATTTATGACTGGTGACAGTAGAAACCAATTTTACAACCAGCTATTGTTGAAATGCCTGAGTTTGCAGAACATCAAAAACCGCAGTAGAGAGAGAAAAGCAGAATTGCTGCCCTGTTTTAACTAACTCATGGTCTAAATGTATTTATAGCTATCGCTACTGTAAAAACAAGCCATATCCCAAGTCACGTTTCTGCCGTGGTGTCCCAGGTAAGCTAAACAATTTTTTCTTGAGCTTGACAATCTGTAGAAAACATTAATCTGGGATTAATTGGCTTGCAAGATGGAATCAATATTGGAAAAATAAATTATACGGCTAAGGAAATTGGTCCATATATCAACATCCATCCGTCTGTACATATACAATCATTCCAATATTTGTTATATCTTAGATGCAAAGATCAGGATTTACGACCTTGGTCGTAAAAAAGCAATGGTAGATGATTTCCCCTTGTGTGTTCACATGGTATCTGATGAACTTGAACAGCTCTCTAGTGAGGCTTTGGAAGCAGCTCGTATCTGCTGCAACAAATACCTAGTCAAGAGCTGCGGCAAGGACTCTTTCCACATCCGTGTTCGTCTGCACCCTTTCCATATTGTTCGTATCAATAAGATGTTGTCGTGTGCAGGAGCTGATAGGTGAGATACATTGATATAAATAGTTTATATCTCACCAATGTGATGCAAGTTGTCTAGGTTATGGTAAAATCGCTTGTAATTTAGAGGAAAAATGTTAAGTAGTTCCTATCCATTGAAATGTGATTTTTACATATTTGTGGGAACAAGCCAACCACAGATGTAGCTTATCTTTAAGCATGTTTGCTTTTGTTGATCAAATGTGTTGACAAAAGCCAATCACAGACATCTTTGTGTTTGCAAAGTCATAGAATTTAATTCAAGACTTGAGGAAAGGCAGTAGTGGTGTTCACTTCTAATGCCTACCCTTTGCCTACATTATCAGTTTGATTCAGTTTGATAAAGACCCACTGTCACATGTGATTACAGTCATTTGTGAATTCTATCCTGTTCTGCTAGGATTTTTCTCCAGGCTTCTTCATTTTCTCTCCTTCCAGTTTCTTTTTACGAAAAAAACTATTCTGAAAGTGGCCTTTGCCAATTCTATTGAACCCTGAAACAACCTCTGAGAGGTTGTAAACACCCGTACCCTTGTCATGCCTCACTGGATTCCTATGCTTTGTCTAATTAAGCGCTTAATATCTCCTTTTTCATCCTAACTATTTCACGGGTATATTATTTGCACTCTAAGCCACTAATACGACACCACCCTTGATTCCAACATTAATAAATATATTGCTATAACGGTATATCTACTGTATTTTGTATAAATATCCCATGAACATATACGACATATTTCAGTAGAATATGTAGGCTACTATAAGTATAAAGGTTAACAGATACTACTTTCATTTCTAGGCTCCAGACTGGTATGCGTGGTGCTTTTGGTAAACCCCAAGGTACTGTAGCACGTGTGCGCATTGGTCAGGCAATCATCTCTGTCAGAACCAAAGATGGCAACAAGGAACATGCCATTGAGGCTCTCAGAAGAGCAAAGTTCAAGTTTCCAGGACGTCAAAAGGTATCAAATTGAGTTTTTACAATAACTTACAAATTTCTCACGCGCGGATTGGTTATTTTTTTATCATCAATAAGAGGACAGACAGAAAAAGCTGAAGTCAATTGCGCACTCTTTTCGTTGGTTGTTTTGATCACTAAAATGAGAAGTTTTTATCGTTTTTGTTATTGTAAAAAACAAATAATTGACTTCAGATTTTATGTGTCTGTCCTCTTATTGACAATAAATTTTGCCATACGCCTTGAGGATCCACACCACTTTGACAGTGTGATGACACAATTACCATCAATAAGAGGACAGACACATAAAAATCTGATGTTAAATACTGAATTGTCTATCTTACTTGATCACTCTTTCCCAGTCACAATTTTAAAGTTGAATTTGTAGTAAGAGTAAACATCTGCAATGACTAAAAAATAGACTTAATTTGTCTTGATACAACTTTTACCTATTTCAGACCATGTGTCATTTGAAAGAGTATCATTGCTTTGTTTATCCATTGCACATGAGAAGACACATGATTATAGATACAACACAGAAAAAGAATTTTATTCTCTAGAGAATGACTCATGGTCTGAAATGGGGAAAACATTGCACCAAGACAATCATTTATGTCCATTATGGCCTCCAATTTAGCTACTAGTGAAAAATCCACATCATTGGAGAATTAATTTTTTTTTTTTTTCATCCTTTTTTTTCCTGTAGCTTTTTGTCTCTCGCAAGTGGGGCTTCACTAAGTTCGACAGAGACATCTATGAGAAGTGGCGGGCAGAGGGAAGACTACTACCATGTGGTGTACACGCAAGCTACATCCGTGAACATGGACCACTGTCAGAGTGGAAAAAGCGCAATAAGTAGAACCCTGTATTGATGCTTGTACCATGTTGTGAAAAACATCTAATAAATCTGAATGGAATTGCATTGGGTGTTTGTATTTGGAATTATAAACAATGAAAATGTTAAAGGAAAACTTGAGGGATATGGATAACTCACAGATTGAATTGGAGTTAAGCATAAAGATTTTATGGAAGGAGGAAAGCCAGAGATCCAGGATAATAACCCTAAATGCAAGGGAAAGTCACAAAAACTCTTGGCTCTTGTGTGATAGAGTGCATGTCATAAATCTGTGAAAAAGTGGTGCAAAGTTTTGTAGGTCTACAGACCACGAACTTAGAAATTGTGCAATTATTTCTTGCAATCAGTCCAGGAATAGCTCGGCTTTACACCATCACATGCCAGTGGCAATGTTAGCTGGCATAACAATAAAATCCATTTATTGAATTCTTTCTTATGCGAAACAAATTAGTGTTGCTCCTGCCATTTAAACAGCTATTACTAAAGTGGTGAAATTTTATCACTGCCATGGTTATTCCACAAAGAATAAAAACTTTGTTCATGCCAGCATAAACACATCCAGAAGTCCTTACTCAGTTGTTACAAGCTGTACTCTTTGGTTTTTTGCTGCCGCCAATCAAAATAAATAGGTCCGTAACTTTGATGTTCTTGACTAGTGGTAGTAAAAAACCAATTTTACAACAAGCCGTTGGAATGTCTGAGTTTGCATGATATGGAGAACCACAGTAAATTCAAGGAAATAATCGAGGAAAATATTTTATTCATTTTACTGTGCCCTGTGAGGAATGCCCGTAGGAATTTTAATACACAATGCAAAAACCATTAACCAAGAGACTTTTATTATTGTAATCTTTTTGGGAACACAACATTTGTATAGACTGCAAAATTCGTAGCCATTCTCAGTAAAGACAGTTTGAGAATGCTTAAAACTCAAGTTTTCAGGTAAACAATCCTTTAAGTTGACCTCCTCTGACTTAGTAAAGGTACTTCATGAAAAAATCAAACTAGACAGGGTCTGAAAAAAAAACCAAAAAGAGCAAGATTAGATCATAAAACCTTTATTTTGTTAGTTAACATTTTCATGGATATATGGTATATTATATGCATTCTATAAGCATCTTGGAAGTGTTTTGTGTTCTTGTATTTTCTTGTGAAAATAGTAGACCAAAAGAACAATGGTTTGATTTCTCATTTCAACAAATCCTATTATCTTTTCCTCCAAATTCAGCTGCAATGGGAAATGCAGAAGGAGGTACATATTACTGCTATTTTCATTAACAGGCAAACTTGGTAGTTGCTAGCTGCACACTGAAATATGGTTTTTCACTGACGTCATTGATCAAAACTAATCAGCGAGTACTTTCCATATTTTTGACTGACAGTAGCAATACTTGATCAGAATGCACTTTGTCTGTTTAGGGTCTCCAACAATCTTGCAGTTAAGAGATTGGGTAGAAATTCTTGGTGTAAAAATATTCTCCCAAATTTTGTTTTGAAGAGAAACAGCTATCTGATCAAGTTGTGAATTCCCACAATATTACCCCCTCCCCCATGAAAACCACCATCCCCCCCTCCCCTCCTGCAACAATAAATGAACAGTCCTTTACCTGGTAAAAACTATGTTAATGTACATCCAAGGACTTCTTAAGAAATTCAACAGCATCTTTGATGGTATTAATCTTCTCTGCTTCTTCATCAGAAATTTCAACAGCTAGAATGAATCATATTACATCTACATTTTTTTTACCTGCGATAACTTTTGACATTGATGCAAGCTTCTACACATTGTACTAGACATATTTACATTAAACAACTGAATAAATAGCCAAAGTTGAAGCATTAGTGCTTCTCATCTTCTACTTCCTAGCCTGTTAACCTTCCCTCCTTGAAACCCAACAAACTCCCTTTCAATCTATGAGTTGCCCATGCCCTGAACTTGATCAGCCCAGAGGTTGTTTAAAGGTTCAATCTGCAAGTTAGTAGTGCCCTGACTTAGATCAGCCCAAAGGTTGTTTCAGGGTTTGATCTGTGAGTTAGCCTTGTCCTGACTTAAATCAGCCCAGAGGATGTTTTAGGATTTGATCTTTAAGTTACAGTGCCTTTACTTAGATCAGGGTCAGATCCAGGATTTTGTTCAGAGAGGGGCACAAAACCAAAATGAAAACCTGCATCCCCCTGAATCCATCCCTGAGAACTACCATTACACTCCTGAGAACCACCATTACACCCGAGAACCACCATTACACCCCTGAGAACCACCATTACACCTCTGAGAACCACCATTACACCCCTGAGAACCACCAGTACTTACCAAATTCATCTTCAAAAGCCATCACAATTTCAACAACATCTAGACTGTCCAAGCCAAGATCTTTAATAAAATGACTTTCAATTGTTACCTAAAAATAACATAAATAAAACTTGTAAATCTTAAAGGGCCACTTGGACGAAAATTGTTCCAAAATTAAAACTCTTTCATTCGAGCTGGAACTTTGCTGAAATAATCTTGAACACATTAAGAACCTCTCACTGAAATATCTTTCTAATATTCGAAAGGGAAGGGCCAAAATTTTACGATTTATTTTCGTCCGCCATTAATTTTTTGACTCACGGCCAACGAGTCATTATGTACAGCAGTTTTACRCTGTGACGTCATTTACTCAACACCGTCATGTTAGCGTCGTTTTGACTATACATTTCTTGTTAAATTACCTGAAGTTTATTTGATGTTTTAAAYGCGTTATCGTGAAAAGAATCTCTAAACAGACTTTTTTAAAACCTTTGATACCTCTTCAAATATGATGGAAACTCCTTTGGACGCTCGCTTTGTCAATCCTGAAGAGTTAGAACCATAAGTTATAATGTATGAAGATGAAGCCGAACT